CAGCTGTAACAAACTCGAAAATTTAAACAATTTTTTTCGAAAAATTAAGTAAGTATATGGTGTCAAATAAACAGAAAATAATTTTTTTCCAGTTTGGATGCGAAAGCTATTTAATTATGATTTAAAAAGGGGAAAAATTTATTCATCTAAGAAAAGTATAATTTTTGCTATGTTTTTATATCAAACTACTGAAGAAAAATTAAAAGCATTTTAGTCTAATATAAAAGCATTTGTAAATGTTTTATCTGAGGATGAAGAGGAATTTTCTAGTGATATATTTATATATATATATATTTTTTCCCTTGTGTTCTATCACAGCGCATTGAGGTGATAGAATGCGCTTTATCTATAAGTAATATACACCGTTATTCAAAGTTTAGATTCTCGGCTGTCTTTTTTCCCCTTTTTTGGTCAATATTTTTTGTGTTTTGTGTTTTGTTTTTTTTTTGTTTTTTTTTTGTTTTTCATTAGTATGTTTGGCTGATTTACCTGATGTAAAGCTCCTCTGTCTTTCTTGTCTTGTCTTGCCTTGTCGTGCCTAATTGAAGTAATTTTTCAAAAATTATCAGTACAGCAAAAATAAAAACTTTGACGATAACTAGTAGCAAAATTATTCATAATGATCAAGAAAATGTCTATTCAAGTGAAATCCAGCAGTTTATTGGTTGCCCAATCAGAAGCGACCTCTAAAAAGTGGTATTGACCAATCACGGCTTTCGTGTATAGTTTCGCGCCATTTTCTTGACAGCGCAGACGCGGGTGGTGTGTTATTGTAGAAACAATTGATTCAATAAACATCTGGTACAGTATTACTTCACTTGAACTCAATTTAGATCTTTATTCTTCGATAAATACTTGAGTCAAGATATTTTTCAAAAGCTGTCTTCGCGCCCTTCGAGAGCCGTTCCGCAATATTAAGGCAATATTACTCGAAAACAAACACACCAATAATTTTAATTTGCGTTAAGTGTTAGGACACAAAAACTAATAAAGAAAGGAATGCGCCATTTTCTCTGCCATGGTTAAGTTTGGATATCCAGCTCCATCTGCATGTCTTGTTATTTCTGCTCACATATGATAGAACGATACATAGTATTTCCGCGAGATTTTATAAATTTTTGCAAGATATATTCGCGAAAGTTGTGATATCTAACAGTTGGACGACAGAATTAAAAGTCTTTTCACAAAGAGAATCTTTCGGAAAAAATGAACCCTTATCCTTGTTGAATGTGGAATACCCCCCCTCCCTACCTCATAACTAATAGGTCGGGGGAAACAAACACAGGACATTCCAGCTATTCACGGATCTTGGGGGCGTTGTAAAAAAAAATTGAAATAAGTGTATACGAAAATAGACTTGAATTAGAATTTTCAACACCAAACGAAACGAAACCAAGCGACATATTAAAAAAAGAATAACCTTATTTAACGTGGAAAGTACACTTAGCAGCTAACCGCTAGTTTACCGCGATCAAAGAAACATAAAGTGTGTTTTGACTTTGAGATGATGTTTTGTCAAATGATAGCAGCTAGCTGTGCATGGATATATTTGAGAAGCTGTAGGATTTCTGTGAATTTATTGACACTACGACTCCTTCCTTCGGTTGTTGACAGAATGACAGACCACATTCAGTATTAGTATTACTTTCAATCCACTATGTATCAAAATTCATTGACCAGCGGGGACTTTATATTAGATACAAGTCAAAAATCAAAGTTCTGTCTTATTATTCCTACTGACGAAGGATTTTCTGTCCTGTTTTGAGCGTTTAACTTTGTCTTGATCAACGTTCAAGAGATTGCTGATCTTTATCCAAGGCGATCCCTGCTATGCCTGCTTGTTTCAAGATTGAAGGCAACTGGAAGGGAGTTTAGAAAATCAGGCGTTTAAAGCTGGAATATTAGACAAAAATTCACTTCCTTCAATGGTACCTTTTTTGACAAGCAACTAAAAATAGTATTTGTACTTGCGGTTAAAGGAAACAATGAAGGTTAATTTTTCAACAAGGTACTTTAATATTCCGGATGTAATGGTCCGGACGAAAGATGGCTTACTTCTCAACGAGAAACAAAAAATGCTAACGAGGTTCTTAATGATATCAACAATATCGAACAAGAACTCAAATCCTGCTGATTTGACAAAAATGTTTTCGAGATAAATTGCAAAACTTTTCCTCTTGAAATTATATAAGACTAAAAATGCATCAGATGCTTAGCTTACTGATAAGTTTTGTTTATCATATTCTGCAAAGAAATACTCAAACTCTAAACCCTATCGTACCCGATCGCGAGCAGATGAGAAGTACTGATACGGTCCCATATCAGGCATGGCCTTTTCCCGTATCACGCACGCGTTCTTTGCAGAATTAAAAGATGAGTTATAGCGAGAGAAAAAAAACTAAGAGATGGATTCCCCGAGACCCATCATAAGCTCTCTTTGATACTATAAGGGCCTCTAGACTCTATCCTATCGCTTCCGTGAGTGAGTAAGACTTCCCAGCATTCATAGTGAGCTTAACAACCACGAAAAGCAAATGGATAGAACTTGACTCGACTCGTTCGCTACGGACTTTCAGCCACAAATATCGCGTTTTTGGTAAGTATTTGCCGCTTATTATTGTTTTACTTACTTTCTTTTAATGGCGTTTTTATTTCAAGAAATGCCTTGCTATCGCAGTGTTATGAGAGAGAAAATYAATGTTTTTACAGACTAAGCTAGACATCGGTTTTCTAATTACTATTTCTTATCGTATGAAAACAAGATAAAGAACGATCAATTAGCTATATAGAAATATCGATATGAGATTTCGGTAAGGCTACAATCACGCACAAGTTTAGATAATGTTATGCTTTGAATCCACAAGTAAACCTCTTAGCTCCTCCCATTAGCATGTGTAGCCCTGGTTACGCCCTACACAGCTTTTTCCCCTTTGCTTAGTTATTTTAGCACTATTCTTTTGAATCTTATGATAGAAATATTCCTCGTAGCCTTTTTATACATTTACAATATATTCATATATTAACTTTAGTTTAAGCTATGTTTAATTCCAAGATTTTCACTCGTATTACTCTTTAATAAGATATCACACTCAGGAATTTACTTATTCTTTTTAGCCAATCATGATTCAACGACATTATCGCGATTGATTATAGACTGACACCTGTCATGAAGTTATTATGAATAGAGCTCATGTAATTAGTTTAAGTCATGGAAAGTAGAATAAAGATCTGAGCTCGTACCGAGAGCGGTCGTCCCATAACAGCAGTATGTGTGTAAAACATTAACAAAACTAAATTGTACTATTTGGTGAAAATTATTTTGGTTCCTTTTGTCGCACAAAAACTGAATTATACTATTAAGTAAATCGTCTTTTACACATTTAATATTTGCACTCTTCTCGTTTAAATTGCCGTTTGTAGATTCTTCATGTATGCAGATGTCTTAGTGACTCCAATCTATTCGCATAGTTTTGTTAGTGTTCTTTTTTAACAAATAAGCTAAGCTAAAACAAGTTTGTATTTGTAACGATACAAATGACTTAAAATAGGTTAGAGTCCATCAACTGAAGTTCTCAGTATGGGCCGAAAAAACCTTTAAGATGTATGAATATTGAATGGGTAGAACTGTGGTGAAATAATGATAGATGTGTTGATCAAATGTATAAAATGTATGTTTAAGACATGTATTTGTAACGATACAAATGACTTTAGATAGGTTAGAGTCAACTGAAGTTCTATGGGCTGAAACTTGAAAAACTATGTATGTTGAATACATCTCAGTTTTGGTAAAATAAGACGTTGTGTTAGCGTGCAAACAATAAATCCGTGAAACACTAATTACTAAATAGTACAAAATAGTGCTAATTAAACAATAGAAAACAATGGAATTTGCATGAAATTGTGCTATTAAGTATTACTAAAGTTTCACGGATTTACTGTGTTCACTCTAAACCTAAACTTAATAATGTTGTACATCATATTTTGTCGTATTCTAAAAAAATGTCTATATGTTCCCATTTTCTAAACATATTACTCTTTATTAGTAAGCCTTATTTTGTATTTTGTCTTCGCCTTCCTATTACGCTTTTTTGTCCCCACGGGTTTTCGGTAAATCACTCTACTTCAAAGACCATCTAACAATAATATACCTTATGCACCGTAGACTCGCGTACCCATAGGGTACCTATTTTTAAAATCTGTGATGCTATTGTTAGAATCATTCATTTGATCGTTAGCTTTTCTGCACGGGCGTAGTGCGCGCGCTCTACTCTGTGTGCTCATGGTTTCTTGCTCAGTATGCGCACGCAGAAAAATAAGCGATGGCAAATGTGATTCTAAAAATAGCATCAAAGGATGGCTATGATAGTTACAAGCATAAATACCAGAGATTCCTTCTCTTTGTTCGTTTTCTCTCGGTTATATATCAGTTTATTGCCATGTTTTTATTTTTCACTGGTCAATAGACCTCTTTTCTGCTTGGGGTAATGTTTTCCCATTTCAGACCACGTGTCATTCCCTTGAGAATAAGATTCTTTGTTTAACTGTATCTATATTCATGTGTCTTCTCATGTGCAACCGACCGCAAACCTTAAACAAAGAAATGATACTCTAGGGAATGACATGTGGTCTGAAATGGGAAAGCATTACGTCAGAGCCGAAGAGGTCAATTTTCACTAGTCTCCTCTGTCATTAGGATCTGGGATCGAAACTGATATCAGCTGCGTTGAAGGCTAAATTTTCACAGGCTTCACTATGCTACGTACGTGGCACCCCATTTTAACAGTGACGTCATTTTAAGTAACTATTTTAGATCTGTGTATCACTGTTTCTATATTTGATAGATAGTCGCGTGCCGATTCTAAAAAGGATACCGGACCGCGAGCGCGGGCAGATACTGACAAAATACC